CCTGCCTCAGCCTCCTGAGTAGCTGGGATTACAGGCACGCACCACCATGCCCAGCTAATTTTTTGTAGTTTTAGTAGAGACGGGGTTTCACCGTGTTGACCAGGATGGTCTCGATCTCTTTACCTCGTGATCCACCCGCCTCGGCCTCCCAAAGTGCTGGGATTACAGGCATGAGCCACCACGCCCGGCAGCTTTGAAGGTTTTAAGCAGGAGAGTAAACTGATTTGATGTCTGTATTACATTTAGTATCTGTGTAGAGAATGGATTGGAGGTGGATCAATCCCAGCACTTTGGGAGGCCGAGGAGGGTGGATCACTTGAGCTCAGGAATTGAGACCAGCCTGGCCAACATGGCAAAACCCTGTCTCTACTAAAAATACAAAAATTAGCTTGCATACTATTGCACATCTGTAATTCCAGCTACTAGGGAGGCTGAGGCAGGAGAATTGCTTGAACCCCAAGGGCTGAGGGTGCAATGAGCTGAGATTGTGCCCTGCACTCCAGCCTGGGTGACAGAGTGAGACTCTGTCTCAAAAAAAGAAAAAAAAAGAGAGAAGAAGCAGGGAGACCAATTAGAAGGTTCGGTTCCCGTGAGGCCTGGCTCTGTGGCTCACAGCTGTAATGCCAGCACTTTGGGGGGACAAGGTGGGTGGATTACTTGAGTCCAGGAGTTCAAGACCAGCTTGGGCAACATGGAGAAACCCCTTCTCTACAAAAAATACAAAAATTAGCCATGCCTGGTGGCGCACACCTGTGGTCCCTACTACTCAGGAGGTTGGCTGAGATGGAAGGATTGCTTGACACTGGGAAGTTGGGGCTGCAATGAGCTAAGATCGTGCCACTGCACTCCAGCCTGAATGGTGACAGAGTAAGACCCTATCTCAAAAAAAAAAAAAAAAAAAAGGACGTTTCTTGTGGCTGGATGTGGTGGCTCACACCTGTAATCCTAGCACTTTGGGAGGCTGAGGTGGAAGGATAGCTTAAGGCCAGGAGTTCGAGGCTGCAGCAAGCTATGATTGTGCCACTGCACTCCAGCAGAGCAAGACCTCGTCTCTAAAAAACTAAAATACGCCAAGCGTGGTGGTTCGTGCCTGTAATCCCAGCACTTTGGGAGGCTGAAGCGGGTAGATCACAAGTTCAGGAGATTGAGACCATCTTGGCCAACGTAGTGAAACCCCATCTCTACTTAAAAATACAAAAACTAGCCAGGCATGGTGGCAGGTGCCTGTCATCCCAGCCACTCAGGAGGCTGAGGCAGGAGAATTTCTGGAACCCGGGAAGTGGAGGCTGCAGTGAGCCGAGATATTGCCACTGCACTCCAGCCTGGGCAACAGAGCGAGACTCTGTCTCAAACAAAAACAAAAAGACCAAAAAAAAAAAAAAAAAAAAAAAAAAAAAAAAAAAAAAAAAAAAAAAAAAAAAAAAAAAAACCTAAAACTAAAAACTAAAATAAATAAATAAAAATAAGAAACAAAAGAGGGTTCTTGTAATGATCTAGGAGAAGGATGATGGTGGCTTAGACCAGGGCAGAGGCAGAGGACATGCAGAAATGTTGGATGGATTTGAGAATTATATTGGAGGCAGTAATTGATTGTATAGGTGGCGTCTGGAAGGGGGAGGAATCCAGAATGACTCTGAGGGAAACCTCAGATGGGTGGATGGTGGCATCATGTTCTGTAATGGTGAAAACTATTGGAGGCATGAGTGAGTTTTGGTGGTTGCATGGAGAGAAGAGTTTTGCTTAGTCTGAGATGCCTGTGAAACAGAGGAGAAAGGGGCAAGATGACGGAGCTCAAAGGAGAGCCCTGAACTGGAGATCCACATCCTGTAATTGTTGGCACTGTCTCTTTAAGATTGAGTGAGAGTCCCTCAATTTGTCTTCTCTGTGATGTCATTTTTCACATCCCAATGCATTTATCATCAGCCAGTTATGGTGGCTCACACCTGCAATCCCAGCACATTGGGAAGCCAAGGCGGGAGGATCACTTAAGGTCAGGGGTTCTAGACCACCCTGGCCAACATGGCGAAACCCTGTTTCTACTAAGAAAAATACAAAATATAGCCAGGCATGGTAGCTCACACCTGTAATACCAGCACTTTGGGAGGCAGAGGTGGGTGAATCACCTGAGGTCAGGAGTTCAAGACAGCCTGGCCAACATGGTGAAGCCCCATCTCTCTCTATAAAAAAACAACAAAATATTAACCCAGCATGGTGGCACGTGCCTGTAGTTCCAGCTACTCCGGAGACTGAGGCAGGATAATCACTTGAACCTCGGAGGAGGAGATTGCAGTGAGGCAGGATTGTGCCACTGCACTCCAGCCTGGGTGACAAAGCAAGACTCCGTTTTAACAAAAAGCCCCATGTCATGGCTCACGCCTGTAATCCCAGCAGTTTGGGAGGCTGAGGTGGGTGGATCACCTGAGGTCAGGAGTTTGAGAGCAGCCTGACCAACATGGTGAAACACCACCTCTACTAAATACAAAAAGTTAGCCCGGTGTGGTGGCATGTGCCCGTAGTCCCAGCTACTTGGGAGGCTGAGGCAGGAGAATAACTTGAACCAGGGAGGTGGAGGTTGCAGTGAGCCGACATTGAGCCATTGCACTCCAGCCTGGGCAACAAGAGTTAAACTCTGTTTAAAAAATAATAATAATTAGCCATCGTGGTGGCACATGCCTATAGTCCCAGCTACTTGGGAAGCTGAGGCATGAGAATCACTTGAACCCGGGAGGTGGAGGTTTCAGGGGCCCCAGAGCAGAGATGTGTCATTGTACTCCATCCTGGGCAACAGGAGCAAAACTCCCTCTCAAAAAAAAGGGCCAGATGTGGTGGTTCACACCTGTAATCCCAGCACTTCGGGTGGCTGAGGCAGGTGGATCACCTGGGGTCAGGAAGACGGAGTGAGACTCCGTCTCAAACAAATAAACAAACAAAAAATGCATACATCATCAACAGTACAAGGAAGTAAAAACCTGAGCAGCTGGTTTTAGAGTTGGAAATAAGTAAAGCAGGAACCCCAGTGATAGGAACCGTTGGCATAAGTTGAAATGGCCATTGATTAGGAATTCAGTTGAAACATTAAACACAGGTTGCTAAGCAACAGTGGCCACCCCCAGAACAATAAGTGTGTGGCATCACTGTCCTTCTGTCTGGGATCATTGATCTGTCTGTCTCTATTGGGTCATTTGCAATAGCAACACAAACATGCTTTTCTGTTCCATACTATATAAATAAATTCCTTGAACTCAACTCCTCTACTCTATCCCCTGCCACTGTGCTATTCTACCCAAATAACTTTTTTTTTTTTTTTTTTTGAGAAAGTCTTACTCTGTTGCCCAGGCTGGAGTGCAGTGGCACGATCTTGGCTGGCTGCAACCTCTCCCTCCCGGGTTCAAGTGATTCTTCTGCGTCAGCCTCCTGAGTAGCTGGGATTACATGCACACGCCATTATGTCCGGCTAATTTTTGTATTTTTAGTAGAGATGAGATTTTACCATATTGGTCAGTCGGGTCTCAAACTCCTGACCTCAGGTGATCCACCCACCTCGGCCTCCCAAAGTGCTGGGATTACAGGCATGAGCCACTGAGCCTGGTCTAAATACACATTTATATGCTCCCAATTCACACCTTCAGCCCAGCAGTGTGTTGTCTGAGCTCCAGACTAATGTATCCATTTGTCTAGGTGGCAACTTGACATTGCATCATAAACCCAAACAGAACACTTTATTCTGGGGATTTCCTCTTGATTTCTCCCTTTCCATTCCTCATTGTTCAATCCATCAGCAAGTCCCGTTTATTCTCCAAAAACTACCTCAAATATTTTTTACTTCTGTTTATTTTTTTGAGACAGGGTCTCCCTCTGTCGTTCAGGCTAGAATGCAGTGGCACCATCACTGCTCACGGCAGCCTCCATCTCCTGAGCTGAAGCAATCCTCCTACCTCAGCCAACCCCAACCCCCACCCCAGTAGCTGGGACTACAGGAGTGAGCCGTCACACATGGATAATTATTATTATTATTATTATTTTGTAGAGACAGGGTCTCATTATGTTGCTCAGGCTGGAATTTTTATTTCTTTTTTTATACCTACTGTCATCACTTAAATCCAGACCACCATCATATCAAACCTGGATCCCAGTGAAGCTCTTAGCTGAGCTCCCCTCTGACCCTATTCTATTATTTTCCTACGTAGCAATTTTTTTTTTTAAAGCTGTACATTGGATGGACTGACTCCCTTGTGTCACTGATTTGGAGGAGGTTTTTTCCCCAGATAAGTCACTTCTGTCTCTCCTTCCACTGGTTATTTCATAAGTCTCCTGGGGAGGGGACGAGTAACAACTGAGAGAGAGAAAGGCCAGGTAAGACGGTTAGTCATTCAAATAATGTACTGCGTGCCCCTGTGCTCTGCGCGCCGTGGGTACAGCAGTGAACTCAAGGACCGCACAGTTCGGGCGCTCCCGGAGCTGCAGTTCCAATTCCATCCGAAGGAAGGGAGACGACGCTTTCCCGCGCGGACCAGCGGCCAGGCGCTGCGCTAACTGCTTGGACGCCCCGTCTGCGGCCGTGCCTCAGTTCGCTTCTTCTGCACAACGGGCCGATCATGGGAAGGTGCCCTGTCTGCCCCACAGGGTCACCAGGAAGGCCCCGACCCCGGTGCTCGGTTAGGAGGGGGTCGCACCCTGAACCCGCGCGCAACTCCCGGTTTGGGCGGGGCCCAAAGGTCACGTGGCCTGGAGGGCGGGCACGCGGGCTGCGAGCACCAACCGCCGGCAGCCCCGCGCTGCGTCGCCCCGCCCCCCCCGCCCCCGGCGCGTGCCCGCCGGGCGGCCTCTAGGCTGGTGTTGCTGCGGGCGCTCTACCCGTGCCTGCACGGCCAGAGCTGGAGGAGCGCGGCGCGGGCTTGCCGGGTCCCAAAGTGCTGGGATTACAGGCATGAGCCTGGACTCTGGTCCAGCCCAGAGGGAGCGGTCAGTGACGGCTGTGGAAGGAGGGAGGTCCTGGGCGGCGGCGCGGAAGCCGAGCCTCTGGACCTCTGAGCTGGAGGCTGGCCAAGGTGGGGGCTCCCCCACTGAGGGCGCGCCTCAGGGAGTGGACAGGGACCGGCGGGACCCTGCTTTGTTTCAGTCTCATTGAGGTGAGGGGGCTGCACTCGGCCGAGCGGCGAGGACCGTTCCCGGCTCAAAGAGAGCCCCCGGAGTGCCCGGGCTGGATTGCGGCCACGGTGCGGGAGAAGCGGGGGAGGGAGTGACAGGTGACGGGGCTGACAGGGCAACTGCCATTATTTAGCACTCGGCCGCCCGGGTGCGCTTGCCACCGCCTTCTTCCCGAGCTGGCAGCCCAGGCCACCGGGACACGCGCCTGTCCTAGGAGGGTGTAAACTTTGAGGCAGAGGTGGGAGACGAACCCGGGACGGTTCGCCCTTGGGCCTCTGCCTTAGGCTGAGGGAAAAGTGTACCTGAACCAGGCTTTGGGAATTGGGCAGAGCTTGATGCGTGGAGATCACCGAGCCCTTCACCGGCTGTTAGGACTTTGGGAAAGCGTTTGGCCTCTTAAAAGGCGACACTTTCCTCCTCCCCAGAAGTGGTTGGACCTGCGAACACTAATTACTCATGTGTAAGGAGGGCTTTGCAATCTGTAAAGCTCTTTCCATTCCGGTGTCATAGATAAGCCCTCACAATGAACTTACCAAGTGAGCGTTGTTTTATTTGCGTTTTTTACAGATGAAGAAATTGTGTCCCAGAGACGTTTATTAAATCAGGGAGTAGCAATAGACCTTTACTCTTTTTTTTTTTTTTTTTTTTTT